AACCTGTGAACTCTTGTGAAGCTGGAGCAAGGTCGTCAAGCCATCATGGTAAAACCTGTCAACTCGAGAAGAGGCTGTCTAGATAGGTCGACACGTCGATGGGAAGTAGCAAAAGTGCAAAATGCCCCCCCCCCTCCGTCGCCGTTCTGCGTCATGCCATTCTACCTTCATTAAGAGTCGTACTGGCTTACTGAATGCGATACGGGGCCAATGTGGAGTGAATGTGGCCTATTCAGTGGCTTGCGGGGTCAGCCGAGAGTCAATGTTCTTATTTTCTAGGACGAAACTCACTGGTACCGATTACATCGTCCTAGAAGGTATAGAAGGTTTGTTGACTTTGGTGGAGTGCTATCTGCAAGCTAGCCTGATATTAGCCCCGCCACTGGTAAGCGTCCATTGTCACTACCTTACCCTCCGCTTCAGCATGAAGATGAAGAATTCTGAAAAAAAAACTTTCTCCTTCATGTCGTCTGAGTTTTCTTGAGATCAATTTTGGAACATCACATTGCTAATGAGAATTCAGAATCAAAAATTCCAGCTTCGAGGTTTGCTGTGTTAGTGGGGGCGAGCCTTGTTGACGGCCACATAGACTCATGTTCGTTCGGAACCAAATTCATATTCTGAATACGAGTGGCAAAACATCTCCGACTCATCTTCCTGAACTTAATTAGATGTTATATGTCCCTAGGATTGCATATTGTTATGGATCACCAAACACACAAGGAACTCCTCGTGACTAATCCTTATATCTGTTATTAGGAGATCTTTTTTCATTATTCCGAGAACATTTCGATCTATTATCACATTTATTTTTCATCCTGTGGCGACGGCTACGCTTCGGATAAGAGGTTATATGCTGGGAAGACCCTGCTCTTGAATAGTTGTGGTCCGTCTGAGCCATGGAGCCATCACCTGAGAAATGGTTTGAATATCCTTATAGACTACACACTTATCGGTTCGATGCCCCCTCCCCCTCCCACAGTCCTGCCCTAGCGTGCTGTTGAACCCGCATCTTTTGACAAACTAGTAGGCTGTGCTACCTCCTTCCTGTTAGTTGTAATCCTACCGAGGATATACGTTTACTTGGTCCTTACGAAACAGTATCCGTCCTGATGGTCATGATATAGTTCATATCGTCTGGCAAGTAGGGGCGTTCCTGCGACAGAGTATTCTACTGCCAACCCTCCTCTCCTATACCTGTAATTTTGCCCTCCTTCGTGTGGATCGCAGTGAGATTAGTTTCATGCTACTTTAGTGGAAATCGAGTCAATTCAGGGTTGAGGCACCCGTCCACGTTGTTCTTTTTTAAACAAGTTTTACATTTTTCTGAGGATTTTTTGTCGACTTGCTTGACGTTTTTGACGTTCTTTTTCTAACGTTTTTTCATCCACTGCGTACCTCTCTCTTCAGTGATGGATGACTCCTTCATTAAGGATTAGAAAGCAAAAGCGCAGGCTAATACCTCAGGCAAACTCGCTGAGGGCAACGTTTTTGATCCCATCTATACCATCTACTCATTTTCCTTTCATACCCAACCCCTCGATTCGTGGTCGAAAGAGCACAAACAGCCAGCTGTTAGTCATTCCGGCGCATGTAGCTATCGTTTTATCGCCCGGGGTGGTAGTGGTCGGGCAGCCCACGCAATGGCGATGTGCCAAATAGGAACTGATGCACAGGGGCGCCGATCAAGACGTCCATAAAATGTGCCATGTACTTGACTTCCCTACGGAGCGAGAGCGATGTTTACACATGGACCTATGTAACAGCTCCTCCAGCCGCCCGTTAATTGTGGCTTAATGGGAACCATAAGCCTAAAGCAGCACTGTACAACAACCTGGACCTCTTTAATATGTTACGTATTCCCAAACTCCCCTATCGTCGCAGAGCACGCGAAGTACAGAAGTGCAGCCGGTGTTCTTTGGACAATTCTGCTGGTCCGCGAGGGCAGTGGTTGAAAGACGAATCAGTTTGACTCTCCAAAAGTTGCATAATTTGTCACGTTTTTCTCTGATCTGTCTATCCCAGCAGGCCCCAGGCACCAGCCTGCCTTGCTTCCAATAACCCATCCTGCAAGCTGCGCTGCTGGGTTCGGTACTGATCTTTGCATATACGACCCCTCCCCGTCGCGGATTCCGTAACGTATGCTTGACATTGCGTCCAACTCCTTCAACTCTGTTCCCATTTGGATCCCCTCCACCAACCTCACTTACCTCCTTACCTCATTTGTGATCGATTTCCCGAAGAAACCGGCAAGTTGGGATATCAGTCACACTAGAGGCTATAGACTTTTGAAGAACTCTCACACCTTCTAATAGTTTGGAGACTCTTTGAGCGGGGTAAATTCAACCCTTCTCCTCAGCGATACATATACGACCCCCTAAAAGTCCCCTAATCTCGTAGATGGCGTAGGCAAAATTCAAATTCATTGAGCTGTTGAACATGTAGCCCTTTAGCAGACCTAAAAATTAAACTCTGATCTTACCATTAACCAAAAGGGCAAGAAGCGATCCGAGAAGACCTTTACTACATGCTTAAAATGGGTTCGGTTGAAAGAAGCAAAAAAAATTTGTCTCGCCAGAGCAAAATTCTCCAAGTCTAGAGGAGGTCGAAAAGCGAATTCTCTAGGTTATGATCTTTGGCGGGCTGATAACCTTGAGGCGTCTTCTCGGTGTGTTCGGTTTGGTAACGGAATTTTGCACTTTCGCTGGACACTTTCGCTAGATCAAATGAGTGTGAACTCCTGAAAGGATGCAAAATGGTACAGGGGCCAATTTGGCTTTGAAAACCCACAGGACTTTACAGGGTGGCCTAGGCAGGCTTCGCTGAGTACCATATGCCGCCCCCATCAAACCGAATTGCGTCGAATTCTTGTGCAAAACTAGAACTATCGTCAAGGAATGCAGGGTTTTGCCCAGGCCTGAAGGAGAAAAGAGCTCTTGGATGGGTGAAGCAACTCAAAAACGACAATTTAATTCAGATGAAGTCAATGCCAGTTTGCTTAAAAGGACCTGTATAGGCTCTCTAGAGTTATTGCCTGCTGATATTTCTCCCTAAGCCATCTTAGATTTGGAACCTCGAAATGAAAAATGTTATAAAAACAGTTAGTCGCATAAACCTACCTGAACAGTTCATACTCTTCTAAAATTAGTATCCCATATGAGCAGTTTGAAAATATATTTGTCTTCTGAAACCGAGGACTTCTTTCCCACGGCTTTTCTTTTCCATCTTTTCTCCGAACAGGCTTTAACTTGCCGTTTTTTGCCACTTTGGGGAGATTTCTCTCAACTCTTCAGTAATTCCTATGTAGGCTGCATACTAAATCTTCCAACCGCAATCCTCATAATCCCATGGAACTTCCCAGCCAGCCAGCAGTGCCTTAAAAGCTGACGGATGGCAACCGCGGCAGTATGCTTGTTTATGCTTCCAGCCCACGCGCTATTTTGTTGTAGATTTACCCAAATAAGCAGCTTTTCATGGTGTGCCTTTGAAGTCTCAACAATAGCCATTTCATGCAGCGCTGTTACTTAGTCACCCACTCATTCACAGCTGGACACCGCCTTTTTTGTTATATGCCTTCTGGCCCAGGAAAAGTCCTCAAAACCGTTTGAATATCTCTGTCTCGGGATGCGCCGTGCATCATTTACCATTGCAATAGCGATTTACTAATTGGTAGCGTTTCAGCTGTAAACAATGCATTGCAAAGCAGTTTAAGGGCTTGCTCATGCTTGTCAGTCTTGTTTTCCTGCTGACGACGTTAAAGAGCCAATGTCCTTTGCTCCCACGTCTCTATTTCATGTGATTACTTGGATTATTTAATTCGGTGATTAGAGCTGACATGTCTATGGTGTCAATTGGTATCTAGGTTTCCCCCAGCCTCCCCCCCCTCTCCATGAAGGACATCATGACACCATTGGTTCTTGAAGGCATGCTAATGCTAACCTTTTCACGAAATAATGCCATTTCCAGCCCTATTTCCTCTGATGGCCCCCAAGAAATCCTTTGCTGTTCAGGGCATTTTCGCGTCTCCGAAATCACTTATTTTTTTAAATTGATAAGGAAAGACGTTGCGCGCTAGCATGTCTGATGGACGGTGCGATCTGGATACTATCACCGAATTCGATTTGGATCGGGGTTCAGAGCTGTAGCACGTAGAAGCCAGAGCACGTCGTACGCTGGGATTCCAGGGAGGGAAAGGGGAGTCGTATTTCCCTTTGAAAAGTTTTCGATTGTGGTTTTTCTCTTTTTTTCTGTACCAGTGCGCTTTATATCTCCCGCATTCGAAGGTAGTTTGTTGCGAGGCGAAAAAATTTCACAAATGCCAAAGAAATTTCAGAAAAGTTAGTTGAGAGAAGTAAGATGGCAGGTAGGATGGGGGTTGTGAAAGGAGGGATCGGACCGGAGAAGGCGACTTGATGTGGGGGAGAGTCGAGTTTTGCGAAAAATTCCTCAACGACAGGGTATGCCCTCTCCTGCACGGGCCCAAGTCCGACCGCCCCGTTCCCACTCCACATGAGATTTTCCGACGTGGCAACGCTCGGTGAATTCTTTCAAGGATATTAGTTTCACGAACTCGCCCTTCGAGGTCAGCGAGGTACAGAGGAATCGCGGGGACCCAAGGGGATTACACTTGATCACTGGGGAGGGGGTCGTACCACATGAGGAGCTTTGGAGAGGTCGTGCTGACCCCGCTAGTTCACACATCCACATTTGTACCCTGCATTGGGTACAAGTTGCTGTTGACTAGGCGAGGGCTTCGAGCGCTTATTCTTGGGTGAGCTCTATGAAAATTCACTAACAAATAGTGGTTTGAATTTCTTTGTTGTGGCATACTTTGCAGGGATTTCCTTCTGTTCAATACGGCAAGCCTAATCCGCTTGGTCACATAATTTTCTTGAACGCCTCTGAAAAGTCATTCAAAAGAATCTCGTGCTCAGAATGTCCGCAATAATTTAGATCGTCGAGACAAATTGCCCTTTTTAGCCCCGACGTCAGACCGAGAAATGCATCGCCAGTACACCAATAACTCTGGCTCGACCGAAGCGGAAGAGTTCACACAGGAAGAACTTCAAGAATTCGCCCAAGCATTCAAAGTACGCCTCTGTTTCTGAGCTCTTCTCCCTATGAATCAAAGTCTTTCCCAGGAAGACTTTGTATACGCTCCATTGAAATCTGATGTATGCCGTTTTTGCAGATGTTTGACAAAGACGGCAACGGTACAATGAATATCAAGGAGTTAGGTGTGGCCATGCGAACGTTGGGCATGAATCCGACAGAAGAAGAGTTGCAGGTAGGGGCATTATTAATAAGCTGCTTGAATTGTTCACAAGAATGTCTCACAAAGTCCGAAAGTACTAAATTTTTCAAGTGGTCCAGGAGACAGAAAGGGTAGCGTTCTGTGCACGGTTCAAACACACAAAGACTGCCACTTCGAGATAAGTTCCACGTTTTGGCCCTGCCCCTCCCTTCCTATTCCTGTGGGTTGACTGTGACACCTTGGAGACACGATCCGCGATAGGGAGCATAGGAGGTTATAGTTCCACCCAAAATCGTCGTGAGTTTTCGTGCGCCTACACAATCACAGGCGCGGTTCGGCCTAGGGAATGGGGGGGGGTTGGCCCAGGTGGAGAGAGGCGCATTCTGCTCTTTCGCTAGTTCCTTTTGCTAGTTCATCCCAATTAACACCAAAGCGAGGCCTGTGAACTCTTGTGAAGCTTCAGAATGGCACAAGTGAGCCACCTCGGTTACAAAAATTAGCAGGTCTTCACAGAATGGCTAATACAAACTTCGCTGAGTGCCATTTGTGCCCCCACCTAGCCGATCTGCCCGCAATTCTACCCGGTGGCTGCGGAGCCAGCTGATGTGCACCTCGCTGAATAGGATTTGGTGCCCACACCGAGCAAATTTGCGCCCAATCCTACTCAATGGCTGCGGGCCAGCCGAGGGACGGAGCAGTTTTTCCGTAATTCTTGACTACCTTGGTATCATTCCCCTGATTCCAGAGGACTCTGATAGTTACTAACTTGACCTTTTTAGAGGGCCTTGAAGATACCTCTATCTCGTCCATGTTTTCCTCCTCTCTATTTGCTAATAGTTATTTAGTTATTTATTTAATTATTTTATTATGTGGGATAATTTGAACTATTTCAGAACATGGTCAACGAGTACGACGTCGATGGTAACGGAAAAATTGACTTTGGCGAATTCTGTAAGATGATGAAGGAAATGAACAAAGAGACGGATCAGGAACTGATACGACTCGCCTTCAAGTGGGTTTCATTTTGATTCGAGAAACTTCAATCTCCACTCAGTTCACGTACAAAGTGAGAAGGGCCCTAGACAATTCGCCCCTCAGGCGTTGTTTTTGTAGATGATCGAGCAGTGTGTTTATCCAGACATGATTGATGCTGGGCACTTTCACACTTTGCTTTTTCTTCCCTTACCAGGGACTTACCTATCTGAAATGCGAACTAGATTTTCGCTGAAATTCGTCGCTGGAAGCAAACTCTGCCTGCAATATTCCCTCAGAGCACTTTGACACAATATTTCAATTTGTCAAAAAAGCTTGGATATTTTTTTGAATCTCGTTCTATGCTCCGTGGAAGGCGTAATGGGCAGGCAACTTACGGTTGCTTCACTGCCCATCGCAGTCAGGGCACATCGTTGGTGGGAGGATTTTGGTCGAGTCCGTGCGACCCCCCCCTAGGAGGTGGCTTGATACGACCCTCTCACTAGTTCCCTCCTCTGATACGGTCGAGCTGTCGAGCGGTAGGAGAAGGAGTTAGAGCTTATATAAGCATCTAGAAAAGAAAAACCGCGAAAAGTCAAAATCCGGAGAGAGATTTTCCCCGACTTTCGGCAAATATGCTCTCAGGAGAAGCCAGTGCGATTCTCACCTATCCAACAACGAGCAATTAACCCCCCTTATAGCGTCCGTGAAACAAGAAAACCGACTATCGAAAAAATCTCCTCTGACAATCATGACCCGCCTCCCCCAGCGACCAAATACGACCTCCCTGGGGAATCCCCAATGATGATGTTCCCTGATACAATCAGCCCATCCTTCCCCATTCGAGGTGAACTCAGCATTCACGGTAAACTCATATTGAATCAACTGGAATCCTCGGGTATGTATAGCACAGCTGAAACGGGAAAAATTCTGACGAATACAGCAAAGTCATTCCTGAACGCGATGCAACTCGTAGTGACTTGAAAGCACGAGAAAAGTGCTGCCCGGTGCCCTGATCACAAATATGTTTGTTTTGACTATACGGTACCACCACTTTTTTTCATACATTGGTATAAACGTGCGCACTGGAGCGATTTGATGAGTCTGATTATGAAGATGACATTCCTTTTCGACGCTGGCGATATTTGGCGTCAGACCAATACAGGCACCAACTTGGCGCCACCATTTATCCCACCAAAATTTAGATAAGCTTGCTTCTAGGATGAGTTTTTAAATAACAGCCTTTTTCAGGGCAGGTGAAAACGTGGGGCACTCTGGTCGTCTGCACTCTGCTGGGGGTGAACTCAGGGTAGGGATGATTCCCTCTTTCCACCCTTAGCAGAGCTCCACACGGCGCTGACGCTCAAAAGTGAATCCCATGTTTGTGATCGGGTTTCCCAACTAACCTAGAATGCAAAAAAAAATAACGAACTGAGCAGGAAGAGTTGCAGCGCCAAGATGATGAGGGCATTCGACACGGATATCATTTTGGAAATCCTAGCGTCAAATCACCTCAGTATGCAAGTTCGCGGGTCCGAATTGGCGCTAAATAGCTGATGAACGGATGTCATGTTCGTGATCACGATACTGGATAACTAGTGGGTGCAGATTTCGCACCATCCCAGAGGGCCAAATAGCCAGCCAACACCTCTGACCAACACCTCTCCTAAACACTTACTTCCAGTGATTGACTGATATCTTGCAATGCGCCCTTGAAGGGTTTTTAGACTTTTCATTAGGCCATGCTGTCAGTAGAATTAGTCAGTTGCTCAGCCTTCATGAAAGAGTGGTACTGCGATGATTTTGCAAACAGTTGGCGTTTGGGATGAGAAAAAAGTTAAAAGGAAAAGCTCGAAGAT